AAAAGTAGCGTCAAGACAAGGTGGTAGTCAAGAGACAAGTTGTGCTGATCTACCCGCCTGCAAAGGCACAGATGGCAAACGGAAAGTTGTTGGGACAAGAGGTGGGTGAGTTGGCGGTAAGTGGTCCGTTGCTGGGGCCAACGCTGGTGTGCATCTGTCGCCAGAGCGATGATGCCTGACCGAAAAGCCGGCCGCAGTACTCGGCCCATTCAGAGGGGCTCTGAGAGGTGCCTCGTCAGTACAAGCCTTTCTGAGACCGCGGAACCGCTTCCGAGTACAGCTCGGCAGAGAGCGTCTGCTTCATGGCGCACAAGATGCGGTAGAGACGGTAGTCGTTTGTCTACAAGGCAGTAAAGTGGGACAAGACAATCAAGTAAAGGGTCAATAATGATAAGGACCAACCTAGCGATGTACTGTACATATGTTAGCTTTAATGGCAAACTGTACCGGCAAACACGCGGTTTAACTGTGGGATCGTGTTTGTCACCAATTTTAGCAAATAATTACATGGCTCGATTTGAAGAACGCCTAGTTCAGGAGGCACTTTTACTTGCTAAATTATTAGTTGGCTATTTGGCAAAATGGAAAAGGAAGCCTGGAGAATTGTCTTGATTTGATGAACAGGATCGACGGGAAGACGAAATTAACCGTCGAGTTAGAAAATGATGGGGGTTTACCTTTTCTTGATGTCCTAGTTGGCAAAGAGGGGGGCAGAATAGGACGAGATGTACAGATGAAATCCACAAATTCAGCTTTCCTTATGAATGTCTTCTCCAACCACACTTGTGAAGTTAAGGTAGGCGTTATGAAGTCTATGATAACAAGGAGCCTGCGTCTGGCAGATGCTAAGCATCGGGACTAGGAATTGAGGAAACTAAGGCAAATTCTGGTCGACAATAATTATCCAAGAGGGCGGGTTGATAACTATTTTAGAATATTGTCCGATTGAATGAAGGGAAATACATATTTGGGGCTCGGTAAAAAGCTAGTTCAGTCTAGCAGGATCCTTGTGCTGCCATCGTGTAATCTGTCGAAGAAGATAGGCGAATTACTGAGGAGGTGGAACATCAGGAGCATTTGTAAAGAGAGAATGGCACTGTCCTCGCTATTGCCTTCCTTTCAAGAATACTCTGACCCGCTCTCCAGATCGTGCTGCTGCAAGATTATGTGTTCATGTGATAGTGCCTATGTCGGCGAGACCTGTAGACCCACTCATAAGAGGTTATCCGAACACAAAACAGCCTGCGAAAGCCTGTGGATCTAAAAATCGGAATTGGCCGAAGAGATGGTTCGTACAGGACACCAGATAGATTGACCTAATGCCGAACGCTTAGTTCGATATGGAGACTATACCAACCAGTAATCGAAAGATTAGGGAAGCGATAGAAACCAACGGAACAGTGAACACCCTGAATAGTAAGAATGAGTGTAGGTAGTTAAGCGAAAACTGCGTGTGTCTGTTGGATAGGTTTGAAGAGATAGAGGGAGGGGGGAAATGAGAAGTACCACTGAGCGGTACTGTTCGGTTTCACTTGCACCCATTTCACGCTTCATCTGTAGTCACTTCACACGTCATGCGCAGCCATGAAACTTAACTTGTGAGCAAAGATAGAGGAAAAGCATAGGACGTCCAAATAAAAGATGAGATGCCAACGTGGACCAAATTGGAATTTAAGAAGGAAGTAGATCTGAAGCCGGCCTCCTTTCTTGTCTTCGTGTTTTTGTATACGAAGAAAAGTTGGGTTTCAAGGAATCTCTTGTTTCATAATTGTTGGGATTACTTCCATTTCGAGT